CATTTTATGAATATGCATGAGGCACAATTATCATAATGAGGTCGCACTGAAAAGAGAGCTCTACAATTACATTTTTACTAGTAACAATTAATTAGAGAGCTCTATAATTCAAGTCTTACTAGTAAGGATTACAATTAGAGAGCTCTCTAACTCAGTTCTTACTAGTAACAATTGAATTATAGAGCTCTCTAACTGAATTAGAGAGCTCTGCAATTACATTCTTACTAGTAAGAATTCAATTTGAGAGCTCTACAGTTCAATCCTTACTAGTAAGAATTCCATTTAGAGAGCTCTCTAATTTAATTGTTACTAGTAAAAATGCAATTACGACGAGTAACACTGGGGATATTTTAAGCTAAAACGGCTTGCCATAGTCTATGGGCCTGACTCCATTTTGGAGCCAGTCTCTAGCAGCCAGTCGATGAATTGCAGTCACTTTCGTTTTGGTTTCAAGAGAGAGACGGGGAGGTTGCCGCTTGATTTATACTCTGCTCCTTTGTTTTTTTTGTACAGTTGCTACATTAGCTTTTTTTTTTATGATTTAGTTTTTAACTAGTAAGAATTCAATTTGAGAGCTCTACAGTTCAATCCTTACTAGTAAGAATTCCATTTAGAGAGCTCTCTAATTTAATTGTTACTAGTAAAAATGCAATTACGACGAGTAACACTGGGGATATTTTAAGCTAAAACGGCTTGCCATAGTCTATGGGCCTGACTCCATTTTGGAGCCAGTCTCTAGCAGCCAGTCGATGAATTGCAGTCACTTTCGTTTTGGTTTCAAGAGAGAGACGGGGAGGTTGCCGCTTGATTTATACTCTGCTCCTTTGTTTTTTTGTACAGTTGCTACATTAGCTTTTTTTTTATGATTTAGTATTTTTAAAACGTGTAAGTTATTTGAACGAATGATTTAATATCAAGCGTTTTCCCGCAGTGTGTGGAGTTTAAAGACGCTCCCTTAAGCTCTACAGGTGAGCAGTGAGGTCATCATTGTTTTCCGCATCACAAATAAAAGTGAAAGTAAATGTTCAGAGTTGATGTTTCTCCATTTAAACAGCCAGAATCGACTCTATACGGAATATCAAAGTGTTTCATGGGAACCTTTATCAAAGCTAAGCCATGATTAACGTGCAGCTGCTTCATAGAAAGCCGGTGATTTTGTGAATCTGTGTAAATAAGGTGAGTGCTGATGCTCAGGTGCTTTACAGTGACTTCCGCATTCATATCTCCTCTAAAGGACGTTTAGTTTTATATGTTTAATATTTTATTTTGCAAGCAGATGAGCATGGTTTGGTTGGTGTTTGGTGTTGTCTGTGGTGTATTTGATCATTTGTTAACACACGACTAACATTGTGTATCTGAGTGAACGCCGCGTCTCATCATCTGTTGCTCTCAGGATCCGTTCAGCTGAATTATTGAGTTTGTTTCTCATTTCTATTCAGAGTCAGTGCTGCAGATCAGATTCTGCTTCATCATGGATGACACACAAACATCCACAGATGAAGATTGTTCTCCAGGATGCAGGTACTTTGAATAAACACTGTATTAAATCACATTGAGAGATGGGAGTCATCATGTTTTTGTGTTAAAATGAAGATTTTATAAAAAAAAAAATCAAAAAGCCTTCTCAAGTTTTTTTGATGAAAAATACTCAAAGACCTTAAAAGAAAATGATTATCATCATAAATTATGAAATCTCTCTCTGTTATAGTTCAGTTCATCAGAAGAGATCAGAAGCAGAGTCCAGCTGTGTGTCTATGAGGAGTGAGGAGTCTATGGATCATCCAATAGTGTTTAAGAGTGGAGATACAAAGACTGATCTCAGGTACATTTTTATAGAAATATTAGGTAACACATTTTATGAAGCCTGTATCTATAATACACTATAAGGTTATTATTAAGGTATTAAAATAAATGCATAATGCATGATAAGAAACCCTATAATATGTTGTATCATCTCATGAATATTTAAACCGTTTTAATGTATTATAATCAGGGCTGTACGTTAACTTTTTTCTCATAGCACTGGTTTTGTGTAAACATCAGAAAAATTGTTTTTAGACAAAGTTTTCTTAATTTGCTAAAAATGGAAGAGTGCAGAAACATAACACCTCTTACACCTTAACAAAATATAAAATAAAAAAGAATGGCAGACATTTAAGCCAAAGTGAGCAATGATAAAAATCTTTCTCATTATTGTATCTTTGTTATTAGAAAATAAGAACAAAGATATACATTACAAATACACATAATATAGAAATAAAACAAACAGTGCTTTATTTTTCAGGTACAGTATTTAGCAGTAACATTCAAGAAATTGAATGAATACATATTCAAATAAAACACTATATATGTCACGAATTCAGTCCATGGACTTCTGTTTATTCACCACCAGAGGTCACCCTTTCCATTTCATTGACTCTCGCACTACACAAACTGTTGCATAGCACCCCGGACTACATTTCCCATCATTCTTTGCACAATTTGCACACTGCCCTGATTGCACTCATTGCACACAGCTGTTTCTAATTACCTCATTCACTATATAACACCCACTCTAACCACATTTCTCTGCTGAGTATTGTTTAGCCTGTACCCCTTTCCGAGTCTCCGTGGTTTCCTTGTTTTGCCTTGCCTTGCCTGTTTTTGCGGTTTTTGATCTTTGCCTGTTTTCTTGGATTTCTCTCTCTTGTCTCGCCCCTTGGATTCTGTCTGCTGATTGGTGACCTACGCTAGCCCTAGGACTATTCTTGTGTTTTGCCCGCCATATACCTGTTTGCCATTGTTTTGACCCTGCCTGTGTACTACGTCTCTTTAATAAAGCCTGCTGATGGATCCACACGTCTCACGTCTCGTCAGCCCCGTTACAATATACACTATATACATCAGTTATACTTTTTTTTAAAGTGACTGACTGATGATAAGTTCATCAGTCAAGAGCAGTGAATGATTTTTTTTCTATGTTTTGTTGTTTTATTTATGTTGTTTTATTAAAAAAATAGTTCACCGAAAATGAAAATTTTGTCATCTGTCTTTCAATTCTGTAAGCCTGCTGATGGATCCACACGTCTCACGTCTCGTCAGCCCCGTTACAATATACACTATATACATCAGTTATACTTTTTTTTTAAAGTGACTGACTGATGATAAGTTCATGTGAATGTGGGTAACCAAGCAGCTGCTGGTCCACAGTGACTTCCATGGTATTTTTTTCCCTACTGTGAAAGTCAGTGTGGATCAGCTACTGTTTGGTTACTCACATTCTTCAAAATATCTTCTATTTGTCATCTGTCTTTCAATTCTGTCAGTGTTTCATTTTTATACCATCATTTACTCAAGTTGTTTTAAACCTGAATTAGTTTATTTTGTCCGTTGAACATAGAAGTTATTTTTGAAGAATGTGGGTAACCAAGCAGCTGCTGGTCCACAGTGACTTCCATGGTATTTTTTTCCCTACTGTAAAAGTCAGTGTGGATCAGCTACTGTTTGGTTACTCACATTCTTCAAAATATCTTCTATTGTGTTCAGCACAAGAAATAAATTAATACAGGTTTGGGACAAAATGTGAGTCAGTAAATAATTACAGAAATTTAATTTATTGGGTGAACTATCCTTTTAATGACAGTCGGCAGCATGTTTAGTAGCTACTGTCCCTTTAAGAGCTGCACGCGTTTCTCTTTTAAGTTCATGTGAATGTGGGTAACCAAGCAGCTGCTGGTCCACAGTGACTTCCATGGTATTTTTTTCCCTACTGTAAAAGTCAGTGTGGATCAGCTACTGTTTGGTTACTCACATTCTTCAAAATATCTTCTATTGTGTTCAGCACAAGAAATAAATTAATACAGGTTTGGGACAAAATGTGAGTCAGTAAATAATTACAGAAATTTAATTTATTGGGTGAACTATCCTTTTAATGACAGTCGGCAGCATGTTTAGTAGCTACTGTCCCTTTAAGAGCTGCACGCGTTTCTCTTTTTTTTAGACATAACCAACTGTGTTTATATGTAAACCTTGTGTGTTTTTGACAGTATTAGATGCAAAATCAATCAGACACGAGAGACAACTTAGTCCAATAATCAGGCGCTTTTTGACAGGCAGTGTTGCCAACTTAGCAATTTTGCTGCTAGACTTAGCAACTTTTCAGACTACTCTAGCAACTTTATTTTTCAAAAAGCACCTAGCACCAAATTTAGCTATTTTTTAAAAGTTTTTGGCAACTTTAAGCAACTTTTGTAAAGTGACTCAAATTATAAATAAAGGCACATATTTTCATCCAAATTACACAAAAAGAGGAAACCATTGAACAGCTAGCCAGCCAAGCAGCAATCACCCTGGAGAGAGCTGGAGAAAGATACCTAACAGGAGCCTACAAACATCAAATGTGCATTAAGTTGCTAGTTCCAATTGGTCAATAATAAATGCACATTTATGATACAGCATGTTATTAGCTTGTATATATAATTGTTTAGCTAGGTTCACTGTAAGAAAAATTGTTCAGAATGTGCAGTTCCCTTTCAGTCAGTCATGTTCGATGTTATGTCAGTCGTGACTGACGAATTGGGATCTCGCCCTGAGCCGATGATAAGTTCATGTGAATGTGGGTAACCAAGCAGCTGCTGGTCCACAGTGACTTCCATGGTATTTTTTTCCCTACTGTAAAAGTCAGTGTGGATCAGCTACTGTTTGGTTACTCACATTCTTCAAAATATCTTCTATTGTGTTCAGCACAAGAAATAAATTAATACAGGTTTGGGACAAAATGTGAGTCAGTAAATAATTACAGAAATTTAATTTATTGGGTGAACTATCCTTTTAATGACAGTCGGCAGCATGTTTAGTAGCTACTGTCCCTTTAAGAGCTGCACGCGTTTCTCTTTTTTTTAGACATAACCAACTGTGTTTATATGTAAACCTTGTGTGTTTTTGACAGTATTAGATGCAAAATCAATCAGACACGAGAGACAACTTAGTCCAATAATCAGGCGCTTTTTGACAGGCAGTGTTGCCAACTTAGCAATTTTGCTGCTAGACTTAGCAACTTTTCAGACTACTCTAGCAACTTTATTTTTCAAAAAGCACCTAGCACCAAATTTAGCTATTTTTTAAAAGTTTTTGGCAACTTTAAGCAACTTTTGTAAAGTGACTCAAATTATAAATAAAGGCACATATTTTCATCCAAATTACACAAAAAGAGGAAACCATTGAACAGCTAGCCAGCCAAGCAGCAATCACCCTGGAGAGAGCTGGAGAAAGATACCTAACAGTAGCCTACAAACATCAAATGTGCATTAAGTTGCTAGTTCCAATTGGTCAATAATAAATGCACATTTATGATACAGCATGTTATTAGCTTGTATATATAATTGTTTAGCTAGGTTCACTGTAAGAAAAATTGTTCAGAATGTGCAGTTCCCTTTCAGTCAGTCATGTTCGATGTTATGTCAGTCGTGACTGACGAATTGGGATCTCGCCCGAGAGCCCAATCACCTTCGAGTGTTAACTAAACAAGCCAATGACAGTTGGCGTGCGTGTTTCACTACGCGCACCCCGCCCCACAGCGTGGGTATAAAAGGAGAGCGTATGCAAATGCACATCAGCTTTTCGCTTTGGAGCCGAGCCTTCTAGCAAGACTGAATCTCCACGAGTGTCTACGAGACAGCCTTAGCGTTGGTGTCATGGTGCGTCAGCGGGGGTTGCCATCCAGTGCTGCTTCTCTTGGGCGTGCTGCAGCTTCCCAATCTGCAGTCTCGCCGCGACCTCCCCTGGGCGCTTCAGCGCTCTCTCTAAAAGAGTATTTCCTAAAAAACCTAAAAGAGCAATATCTAAAAGAGCTCCACGAGCGACGGGCGTCTTTTTAAAGATGGCTTCCCACTCATGCGTTTCTGGATGTGGTCGTGTCCTGGCTTCATCTGACGGTCATGATCGCTGTACCTCATGCTTGGGCTTTCAGCACGTTGAAGCACTGCTCATGGATGAGTCATGTTCTCATTGCGGGAACATGACCATCGCGATGTTGCAGTCCAGATACCTCCTCATTAAACGGGGGGGGGTATCCCCCTTGCCATGCCCCGTTCTAGCTCCTCTGGTTCTCGGAGAGCTACTTCGGTTCATGGTCAGGGTGACCTGAGGATCACAGTGAGAGCTTCCCCGTCGAGTGCGTCTCCGCAGGCCTCTCATTCCTCCAGCACATCGCACCATCTGGTGTTCCCGGATGAGCTTGCTGGATTCTCGGACAGGTTGGGGCCCATCATCTCGTGCGGAGCACAGGCGGATGACAGGATGCCGATTGCTGCATAGGAGGGCGAGCTAGGCTCTGGAGATGACGTTTCGGCTGCGCTGCCTCCGTCAGGAAGAGTGGCGTTGCCCAAGTCAGATCCAGAGCTGACTGCTATGCTTTCCCGGGCCGCCGAGAGTGTCGGGCTGCACTGGAGGCCTCCTCCTTCTCCCGAACGCAGACCGGTCATCAGCAGCTGCCTCCGGTTCCATTTTTCCCGGAAGTGCATGAGGAGGTGACTAAGTCTTGGAGGGCACCTTTTTCTGCCCGAAACAGGCCTGGTGCCTCCTCTGTCCTCACCACCCTCGACGGTGGGGTGGCCCAAGGGTATGTGGACATCGCCCCAAGTCGAGCGCACTATTGCCATGCAGCTCTGCTCACAAAGTGCTGCCACCTGGAGGGGTAATCCACGCCTTCCGTCCAGGGCCTGTAAGTTTTCGTCCGCTCTGACGGCTAAGGCTTACAGTGCTGCTGGACAGGCCGCTTCCGCCCTGCACGCCATGGCCCTCCTGCAAGTCCACCAGGCCAAGGCGTTGAAGCAGTTGCACGAG